ATTTCTTGTGTGGTTATGTCTAGCACAATAGACCTGTGATCCATGACTGATGCACCTCAACACTAGAAAAAATAAAATAAAATGAAAATGATGCATCAGCTATTCATAGGTAGCTACAACTTTGGCCACTAACAACTCAGAATAGGTTTAGGGCAAGGACATACAATCCATTCCTACTGTTATAACTTAAATACTGTAAATTACACCAGAATCCAGAACAAATTATCAAGCAGCGGTGCTGAGGCAGCATCTATGCCGCGGTGGGCAATTATTTTGGGCGGATGGCTGCTTACTGAGTTTTGGCAAGCCATTGAGGGCAGCATGATGGGTAGCCAGGGGCAGATATTAATTTTCTAAATTTTTTTTAGGGGCCCCACGGGTCGGATAGAATAGCCTAGTGGGCTGCATTCAGCCCACGGACCGCATTTTGCCCACCCCTGATCTATGCAGTAGGCTGCTATTACAGTATCTTGCCAGTAGGTAGCAAGGAGCAGTAATAGACCCATTTGCCTGGTGCAGATGGCAACTATGGCCTAAGTTGCAGACATACATACACGTGCAAGTGTAACAACGCACAGGTATAACTTTACCTGCAATTCCTGTGCAAGTAAGGTGTGTGTTACACCATATTCAAGGAAGTTACACTATTACATGGCTGTATGTTGTACATTTACACCCTCCCCGTACATATGCCAGTTACAAAAGGTGTAAATATGTTACATATTCATGTCCTTACTTATAAACCCACGCTGAATATCCAAGGCCAACTTGAGATAGCAAATCTGTCAACCTCTGCTATCCAGTTTTTAAGTCATTGCTGATGAAAAGGGAGATCAAACATTTCTGGAGAAAAGTGTTTAATTAAGAACATTTCACTTTATTTTCAAAGTAGTAACACTGAAAATCACAATCACTGAAAAAAATACAGAAAACCATCTTTTTTTTCCATTGACAGTTTACTCCATGTGATCGACAGCAAAGCCAGTCACTGTCCACTCTTCAGATGAGTCTCTCACAGCAATGAGGAAGAGAAATAAAAACACACATGCATTTATAAGGGAACAGACACTGGCAGAAGGCCTGGAAATCAGGTACAGTAGCTTCAACTGCTTGCATCTGACTGCATTTCAAATCAGGCGTGCCCCTTTTTAATAAATCATCTGACAACATTAGTCAAGAAAGATTTTCAGGAAAGCAAGAAAAAAAAAAAATCGGTATGCAACTCCATATTTGGACACAAGATGGTGCCATCACCACGGTACTCGAACTGAAAATACGTTCAAATATACACCACTCCTCAGTTTACATAAAGTGTTTGTTCTTACAGCATTCTGGATGCAGCAGACCCACATGCTCATCCAGACACTAGGATGGACTTTGTTTGAAGAGAAAACATTAAAAACTAAAAATGTATCTAAGTTACCACTGTAGGCTTTAACATTTAGTATGGAAAACGTGACATTTTACTCCAAATCATATTAGGAGAGAAGTAGTTAGGTATGTTAGCCCGAAATCAGGAAGAAGGCAGGGCAAGGTGGCACCTCGCAGACCAACTCATTCAGTTAGTCTTTACAGTGTTAGTTTTTAAGGTGCCGCCCTTCCCTGCCTTCCAATCATATTGCTAATATATTAACCTTTACTACATTGTGTAAACTCTGCAGTATTTTTATGGGACAGCATCTTATACCTATACTCATTTTTATCTATACTTACTTTTATGCGACAGCATCTCATATCTATACTCATGATGAACAGCACTTTATTCAACGTGTAAAAAACTTCCTTGAAAATGAACAGGACCCTTCCAAGTAAGGTGCTACACAACAAGAGGGTATCAGAAGACAATAGTCAGTGGCTGGATTTCTTAGGCTGTGAGATTTGATTATTAAAAGCCATACCTCCTCCCTCAGCAACCTGTGTTATCCTGACTTGTCTGGTCTGTGTTTTCGTGATAACTTACATTACAGCTCCTCAACATTATTAGCCCTGTAGGGTCAACACAGACCAAAGGGAATGAGCTAGAGACTACTTCTTCCTGCACTACATACAGGGCCACACTTTATATCTGTGCAAGACAGCAGCACAAGCATCATTAGGGGCATATTCTAAATTCCAAACATACCTAGATACCTAGGAGTACCTGGAGGATTAGTCTAATCACAATATCTTTATTGCTGGGGATGTGAAAGGAAAAAATACAAAGATCAACCTAAGATGACACTGAACACATGCTGACATTTAGCCTGAAAGTCGATTACTGAAAAAAGAAAAATCAAGATCTGAAAAGACCATTATTTAAAAGCTTTTTTTTTTTTCAGGACACAATGTTAGTAAGTTAAAAAGTCACATAGCGAAATATACTTCTGACTTGGCAAACGTGACTATTTCTGTTCCATGTAATATTGAAAATCAAGTTAAATCCATAGTTCCAGCTTAGCTTCACTTCTTGACATTTTGGCCAAAACAACCCTGGAACAAGTTGACTCGCCACTCAAGCCGAGTGCCCTCATCTCTACAAATACAGGGTACTAACAGTCTCCAGAACGGGCATGTCGTCCTCTTGAGTTTTAGAACGGTTGCTGCAATGTTGGTTCCAACAACTGCTTGGATTTATCTTCAAGACTCTGTAAGGCACACAAGGACCCTGGCAGAACAGTTATTTTCATTACAATGTATATAAGATTGAATTTGCAGGCCCTTGTTTTAAAGGTTTAGATATGTGCTAATAGAAATGCTTTTGGCTATGCAGTTTAAAAACGACTTCCTTTTCAAATCTGCATTCACACCGTTCTACAGGTAAGCAAGCAACCAAGAAAGGCCATCTTATCTTCAGTTACAAGTGTTGCACTTGAAAAGATGAAACAGAACTCATCAGGAAAGATGCGTCTTGGTTTAAAGTCCTATAGGTTTAAAAAGAAATACAGTTCTCTTAAATGTATTCCTAAAGTGAAGAACTAGCTTCTACCCATAATCTAAGAAATTAGGAGAAGACTATGGGTAGCTGCTCGTAACCGTACCCTCTTTCTTACAGGAATGTATCGGTAACCAAAGATACAACAGGATAAGGGGGAATTTTCAACTGCATTTATAGAGAATGAAGTTTAAATCCAAAATCTCATGCTTCTTTCAGAGAAAACAGCAAAACTTTCCAAAAAAAAAAAGTCTGTAAACTGATCCTGCCCCAGAACTGCTAATGATTTTCTTAGATATTTATGCCCACCAGTAAAAATGAACACACTTTAAGAAGCACTTAAATCTCCAGAGGATTATCTGGAGCACTCATTTAAGCTATAAGATAATTGCTTATAACATATAAAATTACACCAGTCAAGATAATTTCACTACAAGGCAGAAGAGGTGGTTCCATTCAGTATCAATATGTAGCTTTCTACCTCCAGCTATCAGAGTAGCTCAACCCCTGCCCTTCAAAAACTAAAACAAAACAAAAAAAACCAACCACAAAGCCCAAATACTTGCATTATTTCCCCTCTTGAATTTACAGCTGAACCATTATTATATATGCTCTCCAAAAAGTTTACATGTGGGTATACAGAGCAAGCCACATAATCATAAGCATCTGAAAACTGGAGTCTGAATACGAATGCTTGTGAACTTAGCTATAATAGCATGGCACTGCACCACTACTGAAGCATTCAGCTGTTGTCTCAAAGATTCCCAGATACATCTGCTTCTTTTTTCATTCCCTTTCTACAAGCTTCCCTCCACTTCCTTCCCTTGCTCCTCCTCTTGAATATCCTGCTTGCTTTCTTCCATCATTTTAATCTATTTTCCCCTTCTCCCTACATTGTTTGCTTCTCTATATGCTTTCCCCATCCCATGACATTTCGCTCATATTCCCAAGACTCCTCATTCCTTTTCTTCCCACAAGGCATTTGCTTCTTCTATAAAAAAAGACTGAAGTCTATTTTCACTAGCCCCTCTGCCGCTCTCACCCAGTTCTAATATTCCTGCTACCTGCAAAGATGAGGTCACGATTTGCCTTATCTTGGCTTCTTAGGAAGAAGGACAAGAAGTTTCCATTGAGAAACAGAGAATTTTAGGCATCTACCCAAGAAGGTCTATGATGCTCACCCCCTGACAAAAAGTTTCTTGGATGCTGGTGTTCATAACCAGAAAAACGCAATGGAGCTTATCTCATAACATCACATGCATTACTTACACAGAAGGGAAACAGCCAGGATGCTCAGAGCAATCAGTGAGCCCTTTTAGAAGAAGCAATTGTATCTGTGTGCAAATCTGTTACTCTGAAACAGGGAACAAGAGAAAGAGTGGCTTGAGGCTGTAAGAAGTACCCACGCAAGAGAACCTTACGAACTCTGGCCCCGAGTGGCAGAAAGCCGTTTTGTAAAATAGCCAGGGAGGATCCAAATACAGTGGAAAAGCAGTCACAGATAGCACGTGACAGTGTACAAGAGATGCATTTCATATGAAAAGCGCAGTTTGTTTCTGATCATAATGCACTTCACATAATCCACCTCATTTTTACAAAATTCAAAATTTTATAAAATTTAAGCGACCTCCACACGGTACGTTTACACTGGTAGACCTACAAAGTTAATCTCAATGCTGTGCGGTAAGAGAGGGTGCATTTTTTGGAGGCTGACAGTGTTCATGACCCGGGAAGCGTCTGACAATACAAGATGGATTCAGATTCAGTGGGAGACGCCAGGGAGCTGCAGGGTTTTATTGGAACAACACCCTTCCAAACCAGGAATTAGCAATGCACTTCTTTAAGTGGGAAGTTGTCTTGCCTAAAAGAGTTTTCCACTTGTCCACAAATGCAATTAAATACATACAGAAGTGGCATATTACACTAATTAAGAATATCATGTCTCTCTTCCCCTCCTGAAATCCATCCATTCCCCCCACACAGGAGTAATGGAAGGAGAATATAGCTATTTCCCCTTTAAAACATGGTCATGTTCTGGTAAGTTTTTCCTCCTAAATGCTATCTTACATCTTAAGATAAATGAACTCACAAAATCTGCTTCAAGTTTTCCCATTTCTTGCTTGTAGCTCCTCATTCTGCTGCTATACATTCCTCGGCTTTGAGGCGGGATCTCTCGGACTTCAAGCTCCATCTGTTCGAGCTAGCAATTGAAAACGGGAAAAAAAAGTGAATGTTTATTTGAGGTCTTTAACTGAATTTTGCTAAGGTGAAATTTAAGATATCCACAAACACCAATAAAAAAAATAACAAAACTTCTGTCTGCCCACTTCCCCCACTTCTTTATGCTATAGTGCCAGAGTAGGGAGATGAGTTAGGAGAGAGACGTTGCAAAACTAACATGTTTTTAAGACACTTTGGGGACCCTTGGATTTAAAAAAAGGCATTGCATGCTACAAATACGAACTAGAATTATTTTTTAGAACTGCCATTGGCTGTTATATTCAATAATATTTACATGCTTTGCTACATTTAGCAGACAGAGCTTGCTGCGTCTAAAGCTGGGTTCCAAAAATGTATGCTAAAGCATCTCACTGAATTTCAGAGGTGCAGAATTTCATTGGAAACCAAGGACTGCTCATCACTTCTTAAAAACGGCAGGTGGCTGCAGGCTCAGAAATCACAGCTGAACTAGGTGCTAGTTCAGTCTAGCCACGTAGACTCCTTAGGAGAAGGCTCTCAGTTTAAGCATCTTGTTTTGCCATGAAGAATCCTTACCTGAATTTAAAACTACTTCTCAAGTTTACTTTTATAAGATAAAAAGAACTTTTTGCAATGGTTGCTGCAGGCACCCTAGACAATATTTACTTGCTTCCTACTGATCTCCACTGTAAAAGTATTGCATGGGAATAGAAATGCCTTTCAGTTAGGATCCCAAGCTATTAGTCGCAGGTTTCTATGAGATGCAGTTTTTCATTTATACATAAGCTTATTTACACTTTGATATTTCAGCCTCAGACCACAGTAAAGGCACTCAATATCCTGATTTACTCAGTGGACTTAGAACACTCGTGGAACGTATTTGGATAAATAATTGGGCTCCTGCGGGCAAAAGGATCGGGCCTAACACTGCCTGGGGGACCCCGATCGTGACCTATTCAGATTATAGATGACATTACTTAACAG